CTACTGTTACATAATTTGAAATACTCTAAAATTAAAAAAAGTTTATTTTATGCTTTGGTTTTTAAGAAAGCAAAACCGAGTTATTTTCTTCTTTAATGTGAGTGGAAAATAATATGCACCCTACTATTTCTCCTCACAGGCCCTGCTTATGGCTCCTGAAAGGAGAGGATAACCTATAATCACCAATGCCAAATGCTCCAGAAACTCCTGAGGAGTCTGTATCCTATACACCATGGTCAAAAACAGAATCGTGAAGCTCCACTATGACAGAGGGGTGGGAAAGGACAACAACATGATCCTAACCTGAGTAAATGACCCTCCTAAAAAGATAATGATGTAAGGTTTTAATCTCTAGAGGTTTAAAAAGAAGGAAGAATTCTAGTCAAAGTCTAAGTTTTATGTGGATCTTCCAAGAGGGCTTCTTAAAAGAGAGGGTGAATTTCCTCTCCCAACTCTATCCTGCTGCCTAAAGTAAGATGGATGGCTGGAACTCTAGCAGCCATGGTGGAACATGAAGATGAGAGCCAACCATAACAACTCTGGTGCTGCGAAGTAGAAGGACCTGGCCTGCCTACCTCCAGACTTCTTTTTACATGAAAGAAAGATAGACTTCTATCTTATTTAAGCTATTGTGTTATTATGGGTTTCTTTTCTGTTGTATAAAGCCAAACCTGATCCAAAGTGATAAAATTTCCTTCACCTTCGATATGGAGAATTTATCATGAAATCTGAAGATAATCATGAATCAAAGTTAACTCTTAAGTTTAATCTTTGGAGACCAGTGATGTGATAGGTATTATGACGGTTAAGATATAAGGACATGAAAAAAGATAATATTTAATTTGTGTTTCTGATGACACAATTGGTGTAAAAAGATCTTTCAACCTGAAAATAGTGTTAAACATTAGAAAGTTTAAGAGGTGGCCAGGTAGGCGTCTGCATCACCTATTTTCAGATAAAACCATGAAAGCCATGAACCATTGCAGAAAACATAAACATTAATATTTTTCTTCATCTCCTTTCTTCTTCTAATAACAACCAATAACTAAACAGGTACACAAATAAATACTGTAACAATAAATACAGCTTACAGTAAACATACAGACACAGACAGTCCCTGGGTTACAAACATAGGACTTATCTACAACCCATAGTTATGAACCAACCCCATAAAGCCTATTAAAAATTCGAGGTACATACTATGGTCCATAATAATTAATAGGCACTACTTTGTGATCCCATCAAAACATTTTTTTTTTTACTGTATTATTACATTAACAATGTTTGTGTCTCTGGATGTGTTTAATTTTTTTAATGCAAAGAAAGGTATATTATGTACTCCATACTAAAACATTTGTCTACCAAACAATATTTTTTAAATGATATTTTTACAGCATGGTTATTAACTGAATATTGTGCATTTTTATGTAGGAATTTTCCTTAATCTATTCTATTCATTTAATCATTATTAGTAAATCAAGCACATCTGCCTTCTTATACTTTTATATTTTAGAAAACACTGCTAAATCTGTGATGAATTAAATTGACTAGATTCAGTTAATTCAATATATTACATTCTCTCTGGCATTAATTTCACCTTCTGTTGAAACTCAGAACCAACAGTTAACAGATGCTCTCTGATGATGAGGAAGTTCCACCAGTTGTAGCTCTCAGTTAGACAATGATACCACAGGCCCTTTTTCTTCACTGAAATCTTTTTCTTTTTAGATTAAATTCTAATTATAGAAACAAAATTACTTTTCTATATCAAGTTTTCTCTCTCCTTTTAGCTTTTCAGGTTCAAGTAATACTATACTTGTATGTAAAATGTATAATTTAAATAAGATATATAACTTCAAGACATTACAAAACAAAGTAATACTGCTTTAAAGTCTTATATTTCAAAATCAGTAGTAATAACACTACTAGTGTTAACTGGAAGAGAGCAATCAGGAGGAAACCTACATGACTCCAAGGTAACTGATTTCCTAAAGTCAAAAAAATTAACCAAGTGACACAAAGAATCAAAAGAATTTTAAACTAATTTTACAAAGAGATCATTTTTAATAAGGCCATTTAACAAGTTTAGATTTTACAGTCTGCAAACATAAAATAATTTAATGATAAAATTCATTTACAGTCAAACATACAACATACAAAAAAGCAACATTAAAAAGTATCTAAAGTTTGTGGCAATCCTCAATAAGTTAAACACAGAATTATCATATGACCCAGCAGTTCTACTCTTAATATACACCCAAAAGAACTGAAAATTGATGTTTAAACAAAAACTTGTCCAAGAAGGTTCACAGTAGCACTGGTCACAATAGCCAAAAGGTGGAAACAATTCAAATGTTCACAAATGGATTAAGTAATAAACATATGTGTATATACATACAAGAGAATATTGCTCAGCCTAATAGAATATTACTCAGCTATAAAAAGGAATGACGTATTGATATAAGGCACAATATGAATGAATCGTGAAAATACTATGCTACTAAAAGAAGTCAGACATGAAAGGCCAGATATGGTATGATCACACTTACATAACGTATCCAGAATAGGTAAATTCATAGAGACCAAGCGCAGATTGGTGGCTGCCAGCGGCTCAGAGAGGGGTGAATGGAGAATAGCAGTTAAAGGTATAGAGTTTCCTTTTGCAGAGATAAAATTGTTTCGAAAGTAGACAGAGGTGGTGGTTGCACACAGTGAATGTACTAAACCCTAAACCAAACCCATTGCCAGTAAGTTGATTCTGACATAGTGACCGTAGAGGACAAAGTAGAACTGCCCAATTGTGTTTGCAAGGCTATATTTACAGAAGCAGACTGCCACATCTTTCTCCTGCAAAGCAGTGGCTGGTCAGCTAAAACCACCCAACTTTCAGCTAACAGCCAAGCACTTAACCAATGCGCTACCAAGACTTCTTTTGTCAATTTACTAACGGCCACTCAATTATTCACTTTAAAATGGCTAAATTTAGTTATGTGAATTCACCTCATTTAAAAAAAAAAAAAGCTGAACAATTTGATGGTTTCTCGAAATGTTAAATAGAGAATTACCACATGACTGTACAATTCTACTCCTAGGCATATACCCAAGAGAAAAAGGAAAATACATGTACAAAGACTTGTACTTGAATATTCATATAAGCATTAATCATAATGGCTAAAATATGGAAAAATCTAAATGTCTATCAATTGCGAATTGATAAACAAAATGTGACATATCTGTGTAAGGGAACACTACACAGCAATAAAAAGGAACAAACTATTGGTACATGGAACAACATTTTAAACCAAACCAAACTCACTGCCATCAAGTTGATTCCAACTCAGAGTGACCACCTTTGGGTTTCTGAGGCAGTAATCTTTATGGAAATAGATTGCCCAGTCTTTCTTCTGTGGAGTAGCTGGTGGGTTTGAACCACCAACCTTCTGATTAGCAGTCAAATGCCTTAGGTACTACATCACCAGAGCTCCTTGGAACAACATTGATAGACCTATAAAACTTATGCTTAGTAAAAGAAGCTTGTATGACTCAACTTACACATAATTTCTACAAATGCAAAACTGTAGAAAAAAAGCAGATCAGAGATTGCCGGGACCACAGCCAGGGCCAGGAGAAGGGACTTAGGACAAAAGGGTAAAGTGAAATTTTGGGGGTAATGGATGTGTTCTAAAACTGATCATACTCATGGTTGCACAACTGTATAAATTTATAAAACTTACTGAACCGTTAAAATAGGGGGAAAAAATCTGGTGTATAATGTTACAAGTAACACTAAAGTAACTAAAACTGCTAGCATTAAAATGGAAAATGTGTGCAATTTACAGCAGTTATTAAATTGTAAGTTCCTATTATACCACTGTTCATGAAAAAAAAACTTTTGGTTGTGAAAAATATTTTCAATTAAAATAATACATTCACAACATTAGTAAAAATATTATGCTTGTTTGTTAGTGACATTTTATTCTTTTAAGAATTTCCTATTACATGAAATATCAGTTTGTCTATATTGAAAATAAGTGATTACTTTGTTCTCTTAAGTAAAAAGTTTTATTGGAAGATCAAATTGAACTACACACAAAGAATATCTCCCTATTAACAAGGTATTTATACACTCACATATGTTCATTGTGATATAATAACAAAAAAGCAAAACAAAACACTTAGCTTTCCAATATAGAATGATTAATGATTTGATGGAATATATTGAAAATTGTCAAGTGAAAACTAATGGAAGATGACGGAGGAATAATAAAAATACTGCTAAAAAGATCAATCATGGGAGAACAGAAGAGCAGTGTATGCACAGTGAGACCGCTCCAGGGGCAGGAGTGCACAGGAGGGAAGGGCACAGGGGCAGAAGTTAACTATAGGGAGGAAGTGGTAAGACAGCTGTTACACTGTGGGAAATTGTAGTCAATGTCATGAGACAAAATATGTATGAACTGCTGTATGGAAAATGAAATTGCTCTGTAAACTTTTACCCAAATCATAATAAAAATTTTATCTATATCTATATCTAATATAAAATTAATGCTCTTAATATTTAGTGCTATGATATTAGTACCAAGTAAAAATGGTAAGTCATCAAATTTGAATAACTCTATGATTATTATATTGAAATGTATATGCATGAAGATAGGGTAGGAGAATTAAACCTGACATTTTGCTTTATTTTCCAAATTTCGTTTTGTCTTGTCACTTTAATTTTTTTTAAAGCAATGGTTTTCAGAGCATTTTCCCCACATATTTACCATATTATAGACTAGAAAGCTGAAAAGAATAGACTCACGAGGGAAAAAACAAAGTATCTTTCTTTCATTGTCATCTTCTATAGATATAATCACTATTTACCAACAGTAGAAAAAAATAATGTTATGTATCACACAAAATTTCCATCAGACTCAATACTATATTTGTCCCTACGACCACTAAAATAAGCATTATACATAGTACATAACCTAAGAATCTGACTTACAAAGACGTACCTTTGTGTAAGGGTTGTGGCATCATTAGAATCTGGATGAGCAAAAGGGATGTAACATCATGATAAAAAATTGGAACCTCAAGCTGTTCTTCATTCCCTAGCCTAAAAGAAAAATACACAATCACTATGGACACTATTGTGTATCTTTTCATTAATTTTATATTTCACATATATGTCTATGGAACAGAAATAAAACTTTCATAAACTAAGAAATCAAGAGAAAAAGTTAGGGGTCAAATTTTTTTGCCTGAGAACTATTAGCTTTTAGACTGTTTCATATATTTTCTTAACTCTTCCTAATATGAAAAAATTACAGAGGCAAAATGTATTGTCATACTGAAGTAACAACTGAGATACATTAATTTAACCCTGAGTTTTCTGATCTCTTAAGATTACAGAACTTAAGTGAAGCATCAAATGAAACATGGGAGGATCAGTTTCACTAAAAATGGGTAACACATAGGAAACTTGCTACCACAAACAGCACTAAAGAGTAAATCACTCATTACAAATAAGAACAAGATACAGTTTACAAATCAAGTTACACTGAAAAAGCAGGGTTAATCTCTCGTTAAAAAGTTGTTTCAATTTGATGACTACCATAAATTCAAATGAAATCTTTTAACATTTGCAAAGTTTTTTTTTTTCCTTTTAAAAAAAGATAATAACCATTGTTGTTGTTGTTGTTATGTGCCGTCGAGTCAAACCCGACTCATAGCGACCCCTCCTTGGGTTTCCAAGGCAGTATCACTACGGAAGTAGGATTGCCCAGCTTTCCTTCCGAGGAGTGGCTGGTGGGTTTGAACCACCAGCCGTCTGGTCAGCAGGCAAGTGTCTTAACTCAAGTTAAAATACACTATGTTGCTGTTGTTGTTATTTGCCATCGAGTCGGCCCCGACTCATAGCGACCCCTCCTTGGGTTTCCAAGGCAGTATCACTACGGAAGTAGGAATGCCCAACCTTCCTTCCGAGGAGTGGCTGGTGGGTTTGAACCACCAGCCTTCTGGTTAGCAGTCAAGTGCCTTAGGCACTATGCTACCTAAAATACACTATAAAATACAAAATAGTAATTCTTAGGCATGTATAATCCAGAAAAATCAAATGCCATCAAGCTGATTCTGACTCATGGCAACCCCCTGTGTGTCACAGAACTGTGCTCCACAGGGTTTTCAATGCTGGTTTTTCAGAAGTAGGTCCCCAAGCCTGTCTTCTGAGGTGCCTCTGGGTGAACATGAACCTCCAATCTCTCGGTCAGCAATCGAGCACATCAACTGTTAGTACCACCCAGGGACTGCATACTATGACAAACACAGACCATATCATAAAGCAGATATTATTATTTAAAAAAATTAAATGTACTCCTTCAGAAGGTTAAATTTTTTCACCCCAGGTATAATTTTTAATGTCAGTGAAAAAAAAAAAAAATTTAAACTTCCAGAATTAGCTTAATTCTGAAGCTACACCTCAGACTAGACTTGTATGATTTTAGGCTTTGCAGGCTACCTGTCTCTGTTCCATATTATCCTTTGTTTTGCTCTGATTTTTTTTAGTAACTCTTTAAAAATATAAAAGCCATTCTTAGCTTACAAGCCATACAAAAACAGACTTCTTCTGTCAAATTTGGCCCATAGCCATATTTTTCCAATCCCTCAAACAGATCAAAGGGTTTTTTTTAAAAAATAAAGTTTGTTATTTTCAAGTTCTACTTCTCAAATTAGTATACTGCATATTAATTTCACAAATAATAATAGACTTTTACAAGTAGGTGAGTATCTTGAACTAAAATACTACAAGTGTAAAGTTGTATGAAATGATTTTTTGGCTCATGCCCTGAAACAAATGTAATGGTTAAGGAATGAATTAATTTTAAAATTTTATAATCCCTACATTAAAGGAATATACCTATTTCAATGATAGAAACAGTCACACAAAATTACAGATTAAGGACTGTAAGAGATAGGAATCCAGTGCTATAAGGAGTGCAAAAAGGGAAGTATGCATCCTGCTCAAACATGGGGAAAAGTCAGGTCAGGGAAGATTTCATACAGGTGGAAATATTGTTAGACAGTCTTGAAGATGGATCGACTCTTACCAAAAGGGGACTGGGAGGAACAGAAAAGGTGTCAAGAGGACAAGGCAAGTATAAAGATAAAAAAAGATCATTAAAAAAAAAAAAAAAAGCTTATTAAGAACAAGTAATCCAGTATGTTTGGAATATCAATGCATAAGGAAGATATGCAGGAGAAGGGTCAAAGGCAAACAGAGACCAGACCATGGAGGGTCTTATATACCATGGATTTGGATCAAAGAGTATGAAAAGTCTCCAAGGACAAGTAAATAGGCAACTACAATGAAGTACATAGATTGCTACAATATATGTAAACCTGGCATGCAACAGACGCAAACAAGGGGTCTCCTAATTCAGTCTGCGGCTGATAGGAATAGGGCAGAGCTGGGTGCAGGGGAGAAAGGATTTGTGAAAAGGAGGTTTACCAAAGAGTTTAAATTTTGACCTGAAACCAAGCTAAAGTTAGCCTTTACATAAAAAAACACTTCAAATTCTTTGTATGATACCAAAAACACATATATATGTATGTGTGTGTGTTTGTGTCTATCTATATATATATATACGTATGTATGTATGTATGTATAAGAAGACGGGTCAATGTACTTCCATAAAGATTTACTGCCCTGGAAACCCAATGGAGGTTGCTATGAGTCAGAATCAATTCAATAGCAGTGGGTTTCAAACCAAAAAACCAAACTCACTGCTGTCGAGTCGTTTCTGACTCAAGCAACATATATGTATGTATATACGTATATATGTATGCACATATGCGCGTGTATACCAAAAATCCAAACTCACTGCCGTTGAGTCGATTCGACTCATAGCAACCCCTCCCTGGGTTTCCGAAGCAGTATCTCTATGAAAGTAGATTGCCCCATTTTTCTTCCAAGAAGTGGCCAATGGGTTTGAACCACCACCCTTCTGGTTAGCAGTCAAATGCCTTAGGCACTATGCTACCAGAGCTCCTGTGTGTGTGTGTGTGTGTGTGTGTGTATCTATATAAGTATATATAAATATAAATAGATAGGTAGGTGGGTAGGTAGATAGATAATCGATAGATATTGTGGTGGTTATGTTTGTGTGTCCACTTGGCTGGGCCTGGTTGAGTGGCTGGGCAGCTGGTGGTAGTTATTCTCCATGATGAGACTGGCAATCAACTCCATGGTGGGATCAACCACAAGCAGCTGAGTAGCTGCTTTGGATATGTGGTCTGCTTCCCATATATAAGCAGCAGCTTTGGGAATGGTCCCTAGCTTACGGCACGGATGGACCCTGCATGTAGCCGTGTCATTGTTCAGCAGCCTGCCACGCTCTGCCAACCTTGGGACTTACAATGGACTTGAATGAATGGCCTGTTGTGTGGTTTGGTAACATCGGGACTGTGCCATTTTATTTGTCGACCTTAGGCTTGTTAGCCTCAGCAGCCAGTAGCTGCCTGAGTGAAGAAAAGCCTCCAGCTTCAGTGGGCCGGGAGCAAGAGGCAGAGCTGAAGCCCAAGGTCGAGGGGCTTTCATCCTGCCTGGAGGCCCGGAACTTTGAACTTGGACTTGAAGCCTCCAGACTGTGAGAGAATAAACTCCTGTTTGTTAATGCCATCCATTTGTGGTATATTCTTGTCAGAGCACTAGGTAACCAAAATATACATACATACACACACACACACACACACATGTATATATAAATAAAATAGGAATGTTCCTAGCTGGGAAGACAATACATTATAAAGACATCTATTCTTCTATATTTATGTATGAGTTTAAAATAATTCTAGTCAAAATCACAAATAAGAGGAAGGGTTTAGAAAATGGTCCTAAAGATTATCTGGAAGAATAAACAAGTGAGAGCAGCAAATGAAAATTAGGAGATGTGGGGAGGAATAAGAGGAACCTAAAACAATCAGCTACTCACACACAATTTATCTCTTCAGTAAGCATAACAGCATGATATTATCATAGAAATAGGCTCAGAGGCCAATAAAAGAGGAAAGCCCCTAATTGGCCTATAATGTTACATAAACGGTTAAGCACTTGGCTGTTAACTATTAAGGCTGACAGTTGAGACCCACTCAGAGGCTCCTCAGGAGAAAGTCCTCACTACTTGTTTCCAAAAGACCTAGGAAGCACAGTTCTACCCTGAAACACATGGGGCCATCAGGAGCTGGAACTGACTTCATGGAAAGTGGTATTTATATAATAAACAGGACATAAAATTGCTGGAAAATGTAGCTGGTTTTTGTGGAAATAAATTTTAAATCTTTACTTAATAATACTGATGAAAATAAATTCCAAGTAGATTATATATTTTTAAAATCATCTCTACAAAAATTGTTAGAAGAACATATAGGTAAATATTGCAAATCCTAAGATTAGAAACACATTGCAATATTGGCTACAAAAATAAACAATAGCTAACAAGTTTGAACTGCCAACCTTCCGGTTAGCAGTCAACTGCCTTAGGCACTGTGCCACCAGAGCTCCTTAGCTAGCATGTAGGTTGTAAAATTTTAGATTAATTGAGATGATATATGCAAAGCACAAAATGGTCAATGTATAGTATGTGTTCACAGCATTTACCATTTTAATGTATATTAAATGGGGATGGGCATGATAACTATGAAAGTAATAGAGGGAAAAAAAAGAAATATAAGCCTGGAATCAATTCACCCCCATGACTCAAATGACAGACAGCCCTATAAAAAAACAAAAACTAAACTCATTGCCATTAAGTCAATTCTGACTCATAGTGACCCCTATTGGGCTTCTAAGGCTGTAAATCTTTATGAAAGCATACCACCACATCTTTCTTTCACGGAGCAGCTGGTGGGTTTGAACCACCAACTTTTTGGTTATCAGCCAAAAGCATTAACCACTCACTATACCAACAGAGCTCCTTATAGACAGCTCTATAAGGTAAAGAATATCACCAGGGAGGTATGCACTCCTTAGAAGAACCAACCATATGAGATTAAAGGGGAAGCATTATTTGCCCGAGGATAAAGCTCTGAAAATAAGAAGGGATAGAAAAGAAGACAAAT